TTTTTCATTTTTTGTGGGAAAAAACTAAAAGCATTTTCTGTGGACAATGGATGGACCAGACTCGTCATACTCCGCCTTTGCAATCCACATCTGCACTCACCAACGAAAAAAACAAACAAAGATTTATATAAGTCAATCGAATAGGTCAATCGAAACCGACGAGCTATACATTATAACTAACGAAACTAGTGCAAAGTCCTATTTGATTGAGGTTTGTTACGCTAAAAATATTGTGTCTCCACAACGATCATTCATAAATCCGAAATATGTACGAGAGAAGAGAAAATAGAGAGACCTGTTGGAATGTGCTGAGAGAGGCCAAGATAGAGCCACCGATCCAAACGCTGTATTTCCTCTCCGGAGGCGCCACCACCTTGATCTTCATGCTGCTAGGAGCCAATGCCGTGATTTCCTTGCTCATCCTGTCCGCAATACCCGGAAACATGGTGGTCCCGCCACTGAGCACTATGTTTCCATAAAGGTCCTTCCTAATGTCCACGTCGCACTTCATGATAGAGTTGTATGTGGTCTCGTGGATTCCGGAAGATTCCTGGCCGATCATGGAGGGCTGGAAAAGAACCTCCGGGCAACGGAAACGCTCGTTGCCAATGGTGATAACCTGCCCATCGGGCAGCTCATAGCTCTTCTCGACAGAGGTGCTCGTCTTTGAAGTTTCCAGCTCTTGTTCATAGTCAAGAGCTATGTACGCAAGCTTTTCTTTCACATCCCTCACGATTTCCCGCTCTGCTGAGGTGGTGAAATTGTAACCACGCTCTTTGAGAATCGTCATCAAGTAGTCAGTGAGGTCACGACCTGCGAGGTCGAGACGAAGGATGGCATGTGGCAAGGCATACCCTTCATAGATAGGGACGGTGTGGCTGACCCCATCACCAGAGTCCAACACAATACCTGTGAAGACAAGAAACAAAGTGAACCCTTGTAGTTTACTTTAAATTATGTTTGGAATTAAATTTCTAATTCTCACACAATCAAACAAGATATCCGTAACAAGGTAGGCTCAAGAATATGAATGTTATGAGTTATTAGATCCAGCTGAACCACACAAATAATAGTGTCTGACCAATGTAGAACTTTCTAGTTTTGGTAAGGTAGAACAATCATAAAACATATTTTCATTTTTAAAACCCATTTGGCCATTTATTGCTATAACAATATTTAGAAGATGCAATTACATAACATTTTTTTGGTGCTTAACAAAAAAAAGTCTCATTTGCACAGATTGGAGTTCATTTGGACCTAATGGTTTAACATGCCTATTTTTTGGGCTGGGGGAGTGCATGGCAACCATTCGTGCAGATAGTAATCAATTACATGAAAATCTCTAAAGGTTCGTTAGAATACCAGGAAACACTTGGAAAGATAATATGAAGGAAATAGAATATGAGTGAAAAACGTACGCTAAACTTTACTCCTTATTTTTTTTAAAGATGTCTGTCAATACTCTATTTATTTATGTTTATTACACGTATATACATGTCTAAAAATTATAAATATAAATTAAAATAAATAAAAATATAGTGATTCATTTTGCTTTTCATTTTTCAAATTAAAACCAAGTGTATGAAGAAAAAAAATCCTCTGCCATGTGTCTCCCTTTCCTAGCATAGTCTAGGATCCATACATACACAACGGAAATTGACAAGAAGAAAAGAGTGGAATTCTCTTACCGGTGGTACGCCCGCTAGCATACAGGGAAAGAACAGCCTGAATAGCAACATACATAGCTGGTGTGTTGAATGTCTCAAACATGATTTGAGTCATCTTTTCACGGTTAGCCTTAGGATTAAGAGGTGCTTCAGTAAGGAGCACAGGGTGCTCCTCAGGGGCAACACGGAGCTCATTATAGAATGTGTGATGCCATATCTTCTCCATATCATCCCAATTGTTAACAATACCATGCTCGATGGGATATTTCAGTGTTAAGATACCCCTCTTTGACTGAGCTTCATCTCCTACATATGCATCTTTTTGGCCCATACCAACCATCACACCGGTGTGACGAGGACGGCCAACAATGCTAGGGAACACAGCACGTGGGGCATCATCTCCAGCAAACCCGGCCTATATATTAAATGGATAATAAACAATTGTAGGGGGGTAATGATGCAACTACAGCCTCTTTTCAAAAACAAAATCAA